ATGGAAAAACAAGGAATTTCCTTGGAAGGGAGATCTCACAGTTCCTCCGGCATTGGAAGAACTCGGTGCCGTGATGGGATCCATCGTTTATCCCTGTTTTCCCCCCTCTCCCTGGAAATGGAAAGAGATGTCACACCCAAAAATATGATGGAAAAACAAGGAATTTCCTTGGAAGGGAGATCTCACAGTTCCTCCGGCATTGGAAGAACTCGGTGCCGTGATGGGATCCATCGTTTATCCCTGTTTTCCCCCCTCTCCCTGGAAATGGAAAGAGATGTCACACCCAAAAATATGATGGAAAACCAGGGAATTTCCTTGGCAGGAAGATCCTACAGTTCCTCCTGCACTGGAAGAACTCTTCTCTCTGTTTTCCCCCTTTCCCAGGAAACAGAAAGGGATGTCACAGCCAAAACCATCCCGGAAAACCCAGGAATTTTCCTTCCTGGCCACATTACCTGCAATTCCACCCCGAAGAACACCGGGGCCAGCACGGCCAAGCTGGGCTTGTAGATGCTCCCGACGTACCGGATCACGCCCGGGAAGAACTTCCGGTCGACCTCCACCATCACATTCCGGCCGGGAGCGGCTCCCAGCGCCGCTTCCAAGCTCAGCCTTTCCAGGAAGAAGCTCAGGCGTTCCTTGGGGCTGCCGATGGCCAGCAGGAATCCGGCGGCTTCTTCCCGCAGGGGCTGCAGGATCCCGACGTTGACGGTGACTCCGGAGCCGTCGTCCAGCACGACGACCTTCAGGAAGCACGTGGGGGGCCCGGCCTCGGAAAAATTCCGGAGGTAGCTCCGCTCGCTGCAGAAGCACATGGTGCCAGCCTGGAAGTATTTGCTTCCATAGGCACAGTCTTCCGTCAGGATGTAAAAGCAATTCCCGGACGCCGCCGGAGGCGGGAGGTTGGTCATGGCAGCGCTTCCCTGGGGGTGGGAGAAACTGGGAGTCAACTTCTGGAATTCCGGAGGGAGCCGGGTCGGGAGGAAGTGGGAGGTCGTGGAGATGAAGAGACGCGGGTGTTGGAGCAGAATTCCAGAAGGATCCGGGTCGGGAGAGGTCCCAGCCCCGAGTTGGGTGTTCAAAGCCTCGCCCGGTTGGATCGGAGCGGCTCCGACGCCGGAGATCCCAAATCCTCCCTGCTCCCTTTTCCCAGTGTTTAATCACCCCCCGGGGATCCAGAATTCCACCTAACCAGCTTTTCCATGGTCCTGCTCGTCCCAGTTTCCTCCCGGCCTCTCACTGGGCATCCATGGAAAAAAAGTCCAGCTCTTCCTTCTCTCCTAAACCCTCCCGGGAAGAGAAGCAGGAAATCATGGAATGGGTTGGGAGGGACTTTAAGGATCATCTAATTCCAACTCCTGCCCCGGGCAGGGACACCTTGAACTAGTCCAGGTTGTTCCAAGCTCCATCCAGCCTGGAATCCAGCCTGGAATCCAGCCTGGAATCCAGCCTGGAACAGGAACAATTCCAGGGATGAGGTGTCTCCTACAGCTCATCCGACCAGTTCAGCCGGAACAACCTCCTTAAATTCCAGGTTTTCTTTCCTTGCTTACAAGAAGGAGGCAAAGGATAAACTCTGCCTTGGAAAATTCCTTGGGAAGGGGATTCCTGGTCTGTCCCTCCAGCTCCTCTGTTTGTGTTACAGCTCATGAATATTCAAAAAACCACGAATATTTTGAATATTCATGATATTCAAATCAGATGCAAAGCACCTGCCAAGGTACCAAATCTGCATCTTCCAGGATAAATATCGGAAAAGAAACACAAAGGTTTGGGATCACGAGGAGATTTGTTTTGGTGCTTGTTTTCCAGGGAAATTCTTGGGAGTGAGATTTAACTCCCAGAATTCCAGTAGCTAAAACCTGGCAATAAAAAAATCTGGGAGTTAAATTCAACCGCTGGAATTCCATCTGTGAAAATCCGGGAGTTAAATTCAATTGTTGGAATTCCACTGGTTAAATTCTGGGAGTTAAATTCCAGTAGTTCAATTCAGCAGGTGGAATTCCAGGAGTTCAATTCAACAGGTGGAATTCCAGGAGTTAAAAACTGGGAGTAAAATTCAACTGCTGGAATTCCACTGGTTAAATTCTGGGAGTTAAATTCCAGTAGTTCAATTCAGCAGGTGGAATTCCAGGAGTTCAATTCAACAGGTGGAATTCCAGGAGTTAAAATCTGGGAGTAAAATTCAACTGCTGGAATTCCACTGGTTAAATGCTGGGAGTTAAATTCCAGGAGTTCAATTCAACAGGTGGAATTCCAGGAGTTAAAATCTGGGAGTAAAATTCAACTGCTGGAATTCCACTGGTTAAATTCTGGGAGTTAAATTCCAGGAGTTCAATTCAACAGGTGGAATTCCAAGAGTTAAAACCTGGGAGTTAAATTCAACTACAAGAC